AGAAACTCTGAGTACTGCAGTGCATTGTTTGCCAGAGGGCCAGCAGAGAGATTCATGATCTCTCTCTCTCTCTCTCTCTCTCTCTCTCTCTCTCTCTCTCTCTGTGTGTGTGTGTGTGTGTGGTGGGGGACACATGTGAGTGAATTATGTGCCTTCATGTGTGTACATGTCGAGGCCAGAGAACAATCCTAGGTGTCTCTCTTCAGATGCCATCCACTTTATAGTTGAGACAGGGTCTCCATCTGGCATTGGCTTGCTGATTTATCTCAGCTAGTTGGGCAGCCACCCCAGGGATCCTCTAGTCTCTACCAGTGCCATGATGATTCCTGAGGAAAGCCTCACCCCTGGCTTGTTTTTTTTATGTCTATTCTGGAACTCGGTTTCCTCATGCTTCTATAGCATACACTTTATCGATTGAGCTGTATCTCTTTAGCCCTCAAAAAATGTTAATATATGGAAGGATAAAGAAATAAGTATTTTATGTTCCTGAATGACCTTTAATGTTTTCACACCCTGGAATGAAAGTTAGGACTTGAGTGCTCAGCTGCAAAGTGGATATTGTACAACTAGAGGAGGGCCGGCCTCTTCCTAGAGCCTAAGCTTGCTTGCTCTATTACCTTGGGAAGTTCTTCAAGGTGTTTCTGGAAAATGAATTTCATTTGAGAATGCACTTGTGGTGTGCATGTGTGTGTGTGTACATGTGTACTGGGTTGTCTACTGGAAGTATCTGAGGAGGTACATTTTTAAAAAAAATTTTATGTATATTAGTATTTTGGTTACGTGTATGTCTGTGTGTTGTATGCATGCCCGGTGCCTATGGAGGTCAGGAGGGAACAGCAGATCCTCTTATGAACACGTGGGAACCACCATATGGATGCTGGGACACCATATGGGTGTTGAGTCCTTTGCAAGAGCATCCAGGATTCTTAACCACTCAGCCATTTCTTCAGCCTGAGGAAGTACAATCTTATTTAGAATCTGAAGACACAATTTTCATCTGTCCCGTTATGGACTAGTGATAAGATTTTAAGATAGCTCTATATTCTGCCAGGTATGGCCAGCTGTCATACTGGGGTCATTCCAGAGTTACACAGAAAACCTTCAGCATTTTGAAGGGGTGTTGCTTTGAAACTTAAGACTTTTTTTTTAATTCTTTGATTAATCATACCTCATGGAGAATCACATTGGAAGAAGCATCTCTTCTCTTTATCTGTTCATTGTGTGACATCTCAAATAGTCAAGTAACAATTAGAGTGGACCCATATCCTACTCCTGTCCTTTCCTCGGGGAGTGGCATAAGGAGGGGCTATCCATCTATCTATCTATCTATCTATCTATCTATCTATCTATCCATCATCTATCTATCTATCTATCATCTATCTATCATCTATCTATCATCTATCTATCATCTATCTATCTATCTATCTATCTGTCTATCATCTATCACTTTCTGCTTGTTTTACTCATTCGTAACCAGAGAAAAGTATCTGTTGAGTGTGGTAAGGGACATAATTTGAGTGTGGCTGGGTTATCTATTAGCCATCAAGGTCTTTTATTCACATGTATCACGGTTTCCCAGTGTCTATCACTAATGTCAGTGTACAGTACATAAAACTACATGATACTAGTTATGCTCTGGCTTTCTTTGCCTTGCACTGCAGTGAAGTGGTTGGTTTTCTTGTCTGTGACATTTGTAAATTCTCACTCTACTTTCCTAAGTCTGAGGACAATCCTTAGCTTATTTTCATCTGTAAAGTTATTTTTGCATTTCTGGAAGTATATAAGAAAAAATATGAGAAAGTATTATTAAAGAATAAATACCTATGAATTGCCCCATTCTCTTGCAGTCACGTGGATTATTTTATTGAATCTTCCCAAAGATAAGTGAAAAAAGTCCCTCTAAGTAGGCGAGAGAAGTGGAGTAACTCTGATACTTCCATGACTTTGAAATCACAGCAGCTGGGCTAGCTCTAAAGTCTTTTCTGTTCAGAGGAAATAAAGAAAAAAAAATACAGGACAGAGTGGTGTCTCGGTGGATAAAGATATGTTGCTTAGCCTGATGACCAAATTCAATTCCTGGGCCCCACATGGTAGGAGAACCAACTCCTTCAAGTTGTCTGCTGAGGACCATGTGTACCTGTGCACAGGCACATGACAGACGGAAGCATAATAAACAAACAGAAGAAAGTGATACTGTAGTAAACTTCCCAAGACTTAGTTTCTTTCCAAAGAGGTTGTGTTTTATGTTCTTCAAGGAATCTAGATGGAACAGAAAAGAGGGTGGGAGGGCTCAGACAGTAAGGGCTTGAGCACCAGGATAGGAGTGTGAGCCCTAGAACCCACATAGTACAGCAGGGCATGGTGGTACCCATTGCAGTTTCAGCTCTGTAGGGACAGAACCAAGCAGATACCTAGGGTTCACTGGCTACAGGTTCCATGAGACACCCTGTTCATCACTCTCTGTCTTACTCCCTTGAGACTGGGTCTCCACGATCTTATATATGTATTACGTATACACCCACAATAACAGAATAAAACCGAGCTATAAAGGTACTTTCTCAGGAATATATGATATTGTTAACATCACAAAATTTGTAATTGATGTAAGAAATTTGCACATTGAGAATGAAGGGCACTGATGATTAGGTGGCCTCTTCACATTCCTTCTTTTTGGGTTATGACTTAAAGAACACACCCTCTGGCAGGTCTCTCTTTCCCCGGGGGGTCGTTGACCACCAGCCTGTGAGGGCAGAAGTGGTATCATAAATATAACAGAAGTGAGACAGCTTCAGTGAGACATTTCTACTTTATTTTTCCAGGAGTCAAGTATATAAGGGCTCTTAGGGGTATAGGTGGAAAGGGCTGATGGGCCATAACACAGCACCGAATTATCATGTGTGTGGGAGGCTAGAGCGGGACTTGTGTGCAGTACTTACAGAGACCTCTGTGTGGCGTCATTCTCCAAACAAAGTCAGGCATCTGCTCAGAGACTCTCTCCAACCAAGGCCAAGGAGAGAAAGGAAGTCCCTCTGAGGAAGGGACTCAGAGAGTGACCCATACATGGTGGACTATAACCTTAACAGCAGGATTCTCCAACACCCTCCAGTTGATTGTCATAAAGCACATCTAGTTTTTCTGGTTTGTTTACAACAGGTAAATAAATCCAGTGGTTATTCAAGGGATTGTAGTGGGTTTTTCCATAATTGATGGTTTAAGAATTTGTTATTCAGATCAAAGTTCACTGTAACAAAAGCTGTAGTTAAATATTTTTAAAGATTTTTATCCATACAGCAGAATTTCTTGTCTCTTCAGGGGAATGGGTTAGGTTGTGAAATAGGATTTGATTTTTATCAGACATCATAAGATGGAAACTTATTTCATCAAGATCACACACACACACACACACACACACACACACACTGTTTAATCTTCATAATAACTATAAAGTACATAGTACTCTCTAAGGATAGGACCAAGACTGGACACAGTGTTGTCTGAGTCCACAAGAAATGATACAGCTGCAGTTTTTAGCTCACTTCTGTCAGGCTGTGGAGCCTGGAGCCTGCCGTTACTTGTTTACCATAGAATTTTAAATCACAGGTTAGCAGGTTAGCATTCTTGGGTTTCTAGACCACAAGTCATTATATTCACTTCTCTTAAAGAACAATGTTCTCTTTAGATCCAGTGTCCAGAAAGGTCCTTCCACCCTAGAGTAACCTTCCTGAGTGGAAGGATGTAAATTGTTACTACCTGGTCAGAGGTTATGATTTAAGACACTCCAGTGTCATGGTGGGCACTTAGGTCAAAAGACTTTCCCACAAGTGAGGTTAGGTGGGCAAGGGGAGGGGGGTAGACAGTGCTGTCACCTCAGACCTTCTGTGAGGACAATCTGGTGAAGACAAACCTTCATTCCTACCAGACATCCTGTGATACTTGCTTCAGTCTGTGTGTAAAACAGCTTCCTCTATGACATAGGCACAAGTCACCTTGGTCGCCCTGATAGATTTTCTGTTTCCTGAGTTTTGAAAATCAGATGGCCTTGACTCTTAAGTAACTTCTGAAACACATTGGTTTTGTCTACTGACAATTTTGCTTCTTTACTAATATTTTTATTCTTTGTTTTATCTGTTTTATATTTTGTGTGTATTGTGTGTGTATGTTTGGTTTGCTCGTTGGTTTTCGCTTGCTTTGCTTTCTTTGAGCTGTTTGCTTTACCTTGAGCTGCTTTCCTTCAGTCTTATTTTGTCATATGTAGACACACACACACATCTTTGGCTGCTCTGTCTACCTGTCTCTGTGTAGTCTACTTATCAGGCTGCTCCCAGGTACTGTTTGGAGCTCTGGAGGTGATCTAGGGTTAGGTGATTGACAGCCACCTCGGCGCACACCTGTACCATGAGCTTTCTTCACATACATCGGTGCACCTGGCCAGGCCCATCACTTCCTCGTGGGTATGTGCTCATGTGCTCCCTTCAGTAGTCGTCAGCGTGCTCTTCCTGTATCAGGGTCGCTCATCTCTCAGGAAAGATGTGCTTTGTATGCTAACAAGCGAGCCTCCTCCCTCTGAGTAGAATGAATAGGAACCACGGGATTTCTTTTCCTACTGCTATAGTAACTGTATGCTATACGTATGGCAGAGAAATTTGCTTTTATTTTCTCCCTCAGGTCATAATCACATGGAAAAAGGAGAAATTATTTATAATCTGCATGTCTTTATAATGGCATTAAGAGGCTCTATGACCCTTGACCCCAGGCCCGGGGCTTAGGAATCGTGTTATGGTGGCAAACCAGGCGTTCCTCGTAGCAGGATGTGAACTACAGAATGCTCTAGGCGATATTAAATTGGGGTGATGTTTAGTAAGTGACAAATGTTTCCTAAATCAGAAATGGGTTCTCCTGGCTCTAAAGAGTCACCATATCTCCCGTCCCCCATCCCCCGTCCCCCGTCCCCCGTCCCCCCTTGCCTGCTTTGTAACCTCCTCAATGGTTTTCTTCCGCAGCCCTCTACGATGAGATCACTCAGTTTCGAAAGGCCTGTGGAGAGGCCCATCTCAAAACCATCTTAGCTACAGGAGAACTTGGCTCTCTCACCAACGTCTACAAAGCCAGCCTGGTAGCAATGATGGCAGGTAAGCTTTGTGTGTTCAGACACGCTTCCCACCGGGCTGACGGTTTTAGGAGAAACGAGTAAAGAAAAGGGTTTGGATGTTATTGAAAGTGCTAACTTAACCCCTCTTCCCAGAGGGCCGAGACTTTTTTGTGACGTGAAGTGGTCAGAGACTTTGGGCCTGCCTCTGTCCGCCTTTTTGTTTGTGGCGCTTCTTTGCTGCGCTATCCGTATGTAGCAGTAGATGGCGCTCTTGTTAGCAGATTGCCTTTTGTGCTAGTTGATTGTTAGTCTTCAGTGTGTGCTGGAGAGGATTTCTCGGTGAGTTTGGCATTGAAAATTTTCTGAGATCTGTCTCTGGGCTTTCTGAAGTGGCCCCTGCTTTTGTCCCTGTTAATAAAAGAACTAGTGTGGCGTTTTTCATACTTTCATTTAGAGGTTGACCTGTTGCTTTGCACAGAGCAGATGCACCAGCTCAGGTTTGAGTCCGCTGTCCTCTTTCTCACTTCCACTGTACCAGGGATTCCTGAGTCTCCCTTGTGGCCTGCTGCTTCTCTCAACGCTGCAGAGCTGCTGCTGCTGCTGCCCTGGGCAAACCCTCCCGAGGGGGGTTACTTCAGCTCAGTTCTCCGTCCCTACTCTCAGCCTCTCTGGTCTCCTCCCCAACCGCGTAGTCCGGTCCCTTCCAGATGGAGTATAACTTCCCAGCTCTCTGTCTGTGTCTTCTGCTGTTCTCCTTGACCCCTTGGGATCTGCTTCCTTTGCGTCCTTCTACACACCGAGCCGCTGCCTAGAGGCCTCTGTCAGAGTCACCGTCCTCAGCACGCTTGGCTTCAGCACAGCCACTCCAGTGTCCAGCACCGCTTCCTTCTCCACCACTTGATTCATCTTCTCCTTGGGAGACCCATAGCCTTTTGCTTAAGTCTTCATTAGATGACACGGCTCAGTGTGCTAGGAGTGAGAGCTGATTTTGAGGTGCCCTACTAGGGGCCCTAACACTGGGATGAAGATGCCTGGCTTCCCTGGTTCAGGCCATCCATTGTGGTCATGCTTTAGATCTTTATACTCTTGAACAAACTGTTTATATTCTTGTATGCCATTTGAATGCTTTGTCAGGCCTAGTGGATGGTGCCCTGGAACTCTACTGAACATCAGCCTGGGCACTGAGGATGCTATAGCCTGGTCTCTGCTGCTGGGCGCTGTGGGTACTTGTCGCCGCTTGTGTCCTTTGAAGCCAAATCCCTAAAAATCTGAGGCTAAGTAGGAATAGGCTTTCATCAACTTTGCACAGTAGCGGGTCCCTGGGATGCTGGAGTTCAGTGGTCCACACTAGAAGACTCATTGTAACCCATGGGAACTGTGTAAAGGCCCTCAGTGTGTTAGCTAGACATGTGGTCCCCTTTTGTGTTCTTAGCCAAGGAAGAGATTTTTTAGTCTAGGCAACAAGCTAAAAGTTGAGGCCACTTGCCGGGAACTACAGCCAAACATGACAGCAGCCACTTGTGGGGCACCCCTGAGGGTGCTGCTGCGTCAGTGTGCATACAAGGCTGAGGCACTTGTTGGGGCCACAGCTGAGGCGTCTCTTACCACAACCATAACACCATCAGGATGAAAGTATGGGCTTTCTGAAAGGTCAGGCATGGACCCTCTGCACGAGCTGCTCACAGAGGGAAGGTGATGTTAGGCTGCCTCTGTCTACTCCGCCCCAGAGAAAACTGGCTAGAAGCTGCCGCTGCCTTTGCTTTCTGTCTTGACCCTCTGCCCTATGCTGTGTTTTTTTTTTTTTTATTGGATGTTTTATTTACATTTCATATGTTGTCCCCTTACCCCATCCCCCACCCACCCAGGAACCCCCAATCCCCTCACCCCTCCTCCTTCTTCTCTGTGGATGTAACCTCTATCTACCCCCCCTTCCACCTCCCCACCCTCAAAATTCCCACCCCCTGGGGCATCCAGCCTTCATGAGGTCAAGGATCTCTTCTTCCACCTATGGCCAGCAGGGCCCTCCACTCTTACGTATTCAGCTAAAGCCCTGGATCCCTCCCTAAGTGCTCCCAGGCTGGTGTTTATGGCCTCTGCTTCACCATTTAACTGGCCTGTTGAGCCGATAGCTGTGGGGGTACACCGACAGATTCATTGTCAGTTTATTCTTCTTACCTTGTTATTTTAGCTAGCGTAGAAAATAATGGGCTTTGTGGTGAAGCTGTAGACACACGCTACCAATGGACTCCGTTCACTTTGGCCTCCCTCACTGTCTTGTTCCTCTTGTTCCTCCTCGCTCCTCACATGGAGCTTCCCTCTGCCTTGTGCGTGTTCTATATGTGAGAATTACTGCCTCTTCTTCTGACCTCCCCGTCCCCCACACTAATAGTTTCTCTTCTAATTGTGTAAGAGAAGGATATGACTCCATCTAGGAGAGAAAGCATGTGCTAAACTCACATCGCACGTATAGACACTGCTTTCCCTGCTTTGTTTTTACATCTAGTCTGGCTCCATCCTTTGAGTGAGCATGACCGTGCTGGTGGCTCTCTCTGTACTGACTTTGGTTTCTTTGACCATATACCCAGAAGTTATGGAGCTAGACTGCACAGTAGGTCTTTTTTCAGTTTCCTGGGACCCTTCTTTCTCATCCATCGGGGCCACACTAAGTTTTCTGTTGTTCCTGTGCGTGCGTTCCTGGAATTTCAAACTGTGCACCTGCTGGACAAGCGCTCTGCCATTGAGTTCTGTCTCCCCATTGCTGATGAATAGTTTTAATAACTCCCTTTATCTTCACATCAGCCCCAGAGTTGATGGAGAAACCTGGAACTCACTGATTTTCTTAAGGTCGCAAAGCTCATGTATGCCTGTAGTACGTGTTTGACCTCTGACCTCTGGTTTGCTGACGTCCACTGCAGCGCAGCCGTTTCTTAAGAAGTACCAGCTCTCATGAAGGACGTAGTCTTTGCGAGCTACAGCATTTATAGCCCATTTCACAATCTGTGTTTATCCTGCTGTTACGTAGAAAGGAACTGAAGTAATTTTCAAAGTTAGTGTTTTTTATATTTTTGCTTTAATTTTCTATATAATGTACAGAATAATCCCAAATAAAAATACTTTAGTTTTTCTGACAAAAAAAAAATCAATCTTATTGAGTTAAGCTGAAACGTGAGTGTTCAGTGTCCAGAAGGTGTGAGAAGCTCAGACAGTGTGCATCCACCTGCTTCTGACTACTGCATTCGGGAAGGGAAACTTTGCTGTCATGTCCCGATAGATTCTGAGTGACTCTTTCAGCTACTGGTCTAGTGCGGTGAGAGGATGCCATGACTGAGAGGGTAATTCATAAAACGAAGTACTTACTTGGGGCTCACTTACAGTTTCAGAGGGTGAGTCCATCTCCGCCTTGGCTGGGAGTGTGATAGCAGCCATGGAGGCACGGACCTCGAGCAGTAGCTGAGAGTTTAAGTCTTATCTACAGGTGAGAGGCACAGAGGGAGAGCTGAAGTCTGGGGCTGGCAAGGGCTCTGTCCTAGCCAGCAGGGCATTAAACAGGGGTCCGGGGAGATCACCTGAAAGAGAAAGTGGAGAACAGGCTGACGCAAGGAAATGACGATCTGTCTATAGTCTGATCAGATCGCCGTTTTTACTTTTGCACACACAGGTTATATACACAAAAAGGCAGGATGTGAGGAAGGGGATGACGCAGGAATGTGGGTGTTCAGGGGGAATACAGATTGTTCAGGGGGAGTACAGATATCTTCCAGAACAGAGTGTCAGCTGGGTGAAGGTTCAGGGGACATGTCACTATGACTCTATGATTCACTTGTCCTTATCTAAGTTGGTACTATCCACCAAGGCTACCTACCCACAAGGTCTATGTATTCAGCCTGGCAATTTTCCACCAAAGCTACTTGTTTACAATAGCTTCTAGTCATCTGTTTCAGTGTTTTTCCACAGAGACCCAAGACTTTGTGTTAGCAGGCATGTATGTCAGGCCTATTGCTGATTTTAGGCTTTCAGTGTATAAGCAGGGCTGCCCCTGACCAGGCTCTGGAAACCTCAAAGCCCACATCCAGTCACACACCACCTCCGTCAAGGCTGCACCTCCTGCTCCTTCCTGTACTGTACATCAACGGGGACCCAACACTCAGATCTGTGGACCTGTGGACGCTGTACCTAACAGAGACTCAACACTCAGATCTGTGAACCTGTGGGCGCTGTCCCCATTCAAAGCAGCATAGACCCTCTGCGGTCAGTTTTGTGTGGTTCCTGCTCCTCAGCTGCAGCAGCACTGAGGTGGCCGGCCGTATCAAATCCACCGGCTTTGTCAGTTTAGAACATCCTGCAGCACACGTTTTTATTTGCTGCTCTCCCAAATGAATAACTGAGACTGCAAGCTTTCTTACTGGTGCCCCATTGCCATACAAATGTGTTGAGGTGCTAAGATTACAGTTGTGAAGTTGTTTATGATGTGGTCCTAGTCTGATGTCTGTAGGGTCTGTAGTTACAGCTCTTTCTTCATCCTGATGACTGGTTTTATTTTTATTTTTCTCCCCTCCCGATAGAGTCTTGCAGGTGTTTTGCTGATTTTATTAGTCTTTTCAAAGACCTTACCTTTTCTTTTTGTTCATTATGCACTAAAGTGTTTTCTAGTTTCCTTAGTAAGTTCTCTTGTCATTGAGAAAGCTATTTAAAGTGTCATTTAGCTTGAGATCTTTGATGTCTAAACTTTGAGTGCTTTTCTGGTAACTGAACTTGAGTCCTCTGTGAGAGCAGTGTATGTGCCTAGCCACTGCGATGTATCTCCTGTCCCCAGAATGATTTTGTTAAATAATATCTGCCCCATGTTGTCTGTCTTTCCTTCAAGGATCCTAAGTGTGTAAGTGTAAGACAGATTGACATTGTCCCATAGACTGCTCAAGTCCTGTCTGTTTAATTTTCAGTCACTCCCACCACCATCACCACCATCACCACCATCACCACCATCATCAGTCATTATCACTGTTCTTAGTACTTCTGTTCTCCAAACAGAAAATTAGGAAT